ATCAGCCATGGTATGTGAATGACATTTTTCAGTTTTATTTGATGTAATGAGCAATGACACTCACACATTAAATCAAAACGGTTTAATTAATTAATTGTATTTATTTTTCTTCTCTCATTTGTCTTTAAGCTTGAATGGGCTTTGGGGACAGGCGACAAAGATGAGACAATTGCTGAAGTCGGGAACTTTGTTCTGAAAAAGAAAGATTTCTGGACTCTAGGTCTCAATGAGCAGTTGGAGGCAACAGTGAGTTGACAAAGTAACACACAATAACAATAAGAAATGTCTGTGACTCTTTACAGTTCTTTTTTTTTTTAATTGCAGATTGCAAACAGCTGTCTTGAGGTAATTGCATTGGTGGCTAAGGAACGAGTAAGCATTTGTAAAGATGCAGATCTCAAATAGCCAGAGACACAGTTGTCTAACTTGTGTATAGTCTTACATGGATATGTTATGTTGCAGGGAATGGATGTGTGGACAGCTAATGCATATGTTGTGGTGACCTGGTTGCCTCCACATAATCTGGACCCATCCTTGTCATTTCCAGTGAGGCCACAATGTTATTTAACATTCACAGCAGTGACCAATTTTATTTTAAACCAACTGAATTAATTTTTTTTTGTTTATTTTTTTATTATTTATAGGATTTCATTGCGCTGAAAGATTGCATTGTCTTCCCTGCTTGGAAGCCAGGACACTGGATGTTGTGTGTACGTCATTTGTAATCTGGCTATTTAACTTCGCAGTGCTGTCTGGAAATTGTCTGCATTTGTCTTATCACAATTAAGAGATACCATTTCATGATAAAGAACTACTAACTATATTTTGCAGGTCATGAAGCCAAAAGATAGGCACATGTTCTTCCTTGATTCAACCAATCCATATGGGTTGGGTGATGAGAGATATGTGAAAGTTTTCAGGTTGCAAAAATAAATAGAAGTGAAAATGTTCAAGGTTCTCAATTGAAGGTTCTCGGTTCAGGCTTGCTGTTCAAGGTTCGCTGTTCAATGTTTGTGTTCAAGTTTTGCCATTCAGAGTGTGCTGTTCAAGAGTTTATTAAGCTTGCTTTATGGCTTCTTGCATGATGTTCTGATTTTGCATGCTGTGCCAGTTTTTATTAGAAAGACCCAAATACTGTTGACTGCTGTAGGTGTGTTCATGCCATATCGTAAT